CGTACATCATGGTAGGCTGTTGTGTAGAAAATATCGAGCATCTCGAGATTTGCACAGTATTTTGTCAAGTAATCATGGCCAATCGAGACATCGAATAATCGACCACCTATGGCCAGACGGTGAAGTTGTGAACCAAGTTTACTGAGAATATAAAGAGTAACAGAATGGGAAACATTTGTCAGATTAAGTGAGCTGCCAATAAAGAACCGTACAGCAGTAGCAAATCGTTCGTCCAACTCATAGAAAGCATATATGACATCCGATTTACGCATTTGACGAAATATGAGATAGAGCAGTTCAGTAGGTAATTGGATTAAATTGAAAGGATTCATTGTCTCGAGAAGAAAACGATGAGTTAATGTTTTATTGATTGAATCTGGCGTATATTACAAAACGTCAAGCATCAGCAATAAAATAACTACCGATAGAAAAGTATCTGCAGCTCGGCACGTTTAACCCAAGAACGAGTAAAACAAAGCCTAGCTCCGTTTTTGTTTCTGAAGAGAAAAAAGCAAATGAATAATTTATAACCAATGACAGGGGTACACGTCGAACAGATTATGTCATGAGTCAGGAAGGAATAATATAAATATCTTTGCATTACTGACATTGTATGTGTTGGTAAGATGGAAAAAACATTGAAAGAAACGTTTTGAAGAAGAAGCATATCAAATAGTCTATAGTATTGATAAAAGGAATTATTACATAAAGAATGACTTCCTAGTATTTGTGCAATGACATCATCAGTCTTACATCTATTTGACCTAATCTTTTTTTGTCTATAGATTTATCTTTTAGTTCTCAATTAAACTACTTGTTTCATTTTTTCCATATGGCATTATGTTTATGTTGCAATTTATTGTTGCACTCGGAAGTGCTTACATAGAAATATGAAAAAAACATGTAGAAGTTCAAATATATCTATACGATGGTAGACTATCATATGACACTTTCAACAATAGAAGGAAGAAAAAAAAAGAGAAAAAAAATATTACGAGAAAAATGAGAGGAAGATTAGAAAAGAAAGGCACATAAAAATGCATATCTAGGCATTTAGTCAACAAAAATCAATACACTTAAACAGCAGAGGATCATGTGGATGTGAGCTTGGTTGAAGGTGTCTGTGTGAGTACGGATGCAAGCGAAGACCAAACACGACCGCACACTTGCCCCTACAACCATTCGCACTCACACTCAATCTTTATTGATAAATAGGATCCTGCTACCGACCCAATTTAAGATGTTTATGATAATCTCAATTACATCATATATATAATACAAAATATTATTTGATATCGAAGAAAAAAAATTATTTGTAGGCAATCTTACTCTTGAGACAAACTATAATTTATAGAAATATCAATTAAATACAATTACGAATTTTAGGTATCGCAACATGTGATGATGAAAATAAAAGCTTTCAATGATTATTGTTCTATCACGTTGATGATTCGGCATGTAAAGATATTCAATAGATCAATTTTATATCTTCTTTTTTACATTCAAAATCTCGCCTTGTATTTGTTCCGGTAGAAGATGAGATTAATGTAGTACCTAGAATTAGGAATTCATTGAGTAATAATCCTTTTGGATAGCTTGAGCTGAGAGTTAGATAAATCATTTACATATATTGGTAAAAAAACAAGTTTTGCATTATTGTGAACGTATTTTTATGACGTATTATTCTGTAATCATGAGTGTATTTTTTTTGTGCAACAAAATTTCTACTGACTTCTTTACAGTCCTAACATATTTTATTTCTAACATCCATTAATATGACTGATTGATCAGGAGCCATTGAGTCATTCTGTTTAACTCACTTGTGGATAAGGTCCAACAGATGCGAGCTTATTGCAGCTAAGTAAGAAAAAGTAACAATGCATGCACTTGAGAATCGTGATAATAATCACGGTTATCATTGCGAAAAGGCAACAGGCACAAAAGCAACGACAAATAGAGAGTTAGAGATAGGCCAAAAGATGGATGAAATATTCTTAGAACCCTGCTCAAAGGTCAAATCCAGAGCGGTGAATCGTATTTCTCATCCATGACATAGAAAAACATGATCTACCATTACATATCGTATTTTCCGTTCCGTATACGATTAAATTGTATTCTAGATTGAGAATTGAGATGATGGCCATTAAATCAACTTCTATAAATGTAGAAGTTGACAAGACTGATATTGGAAATGCTAATGAGTCACATGCACGTCATCGATGATGAATTGATTTATCTCCAAGAGTTAGTTGATTTTCGATTGATGAAACGAGCATTAAAATTACCAAACAACATAGATCATATGGATCCTTCAGTGGTAATCGACAACTTTCTCTACCAAGGCACAGCGAGACATGCAGAAAATAAAAATCTACTGACTAATCTCAACATTCGACACATAATCAATGTGAGCGATTGCCTATTGGAATAGGATACTCGCAGTCATATTAATATACTGTGGATTAATGTGAACGATGGGTTAGATGTTGACATTGCTCAATATTTTGAAAGAACAAATGAATTCTTGAATTCCTGCAAGGCAAAGGGAGACAAAGTACTAATTAGTGCAATGTCAGGCGGGCGTTTCTCGTTCTTCTACGATTGTTCTCGCTTATTTATTGGAGTAATATTTTTATTTGTTGAAAACGATTTTCATTCTTTTTACCTAGGTACCATCATGACTCGTTGGCCAAAGTGTATGAATATTTGATGGAAAGGTGGCGTTGTGTTGCTTCCAACTACTGTTTTTTCTTGCAGTTGATTCGGTATGAGCGCAAACTGCGTGAGAAAAATGAGGTCAACGAACAAAAAACTATTGATAATAAACGAAGTTTGATTGAGACACTTGATGTAAACGAGCTTCCAACAGTTTATTTTGATTGATAACACAAAAGCCAGAAACTTAAACGATAGCAACATGGAACATCAATTCAAATCTGCTGTACATAGATGAAGCACTGTTCTGATTTCTTTATGTTTCATTTGTTTATGTGACAAACAAGATATTAGTGAAATAAATTCGAACCACTTATGATGATCAAATAAAGAAAGATAAAGCCTTGAAAATTTATGTGAAAAAAATTGTTAGATAAAGCTTATCATCGTTCTAAAAATTGCTAGAAGGTCACGAAAGCTGTAGAATGTGCATCTCAAAGCTACATTCTGGCACGTTGGCCATTCGTGAGTGTCAAGTGTTACACTATGGAGAAATTTGAAAGAATCTTATTGTTGTTAACCAACCTGATTTTCTCAGGTGTTAGATAAACTTATCTGTAAAACTAATAGCTATATATCGTAACGAGCGAAATGAGCTGGATTCAACCAATGATCTTGTCTTCATAGCATATAATAATATTATGGATCGACAGCAAAAAGAATAATTCATCGATGTCTCATTCTCAAATTCATCGTTCGATAATTACAATATTTGAACAGTTGAACAGATAAATACGAAATGCATCTGTAGACTAGTAAGTAATGATGTCTTGATTGATGGAAACTCTTTTTAATGCTGTAATTCACTTGTTTTTTTTTCTCGTGAAATGCTGTAGGATGACAATTTCGTGTGTAAGTAACCATGAAAAAGAGACTCACATTCCATACGCACCATTTCAATCTATTTTTATGAATCATTCCTATTCTAAGAATGTATATCTTTTACAAGACATAGCTGAAATCAAGAACATGTTAAAAAAAAGGTTTGGGTGTGAATATAGAGGATAGTCACAGTCACACCCATGAACAACGTCTACTTTTACTTTTAATATCAAAATAATTAACATACACTTTCGAAATTTTTCCGGTGTTTTAGTCATTATAGTTTTCGGATTCTTCACTTGTTTGTTCACTGCAATGTTCAAGACAAACAAAACTGTCTTTGTATTTGCGCAACTCAACACACATTTGTTTGAGATTGATCTTGTACCATGGTATATCAATAATGTAATCTTCATTTGATTTGCAACCACATTTACGTACTATTTTGTAGTATTTTCGCTTCTTTATACTTTCTAGTCTTACAAATTGAAGTTTTGTCTCACGACAACACATATCACAATAATATAAGTTGAAGTGTTTGAATTCAAGAACAGCAAGTTTTAAACGGTCATGAGCAACATGTTCGATGAGGTCATTTCGAAAATTGCCAGAATCAAGATCGAAGCAATAAGTTGGACCTTTGTTAGTTGATACTTTCACAGTTTTCCCATCAAGTCCCTTACGTTGCATACTTGGCAAGCGATTATTGATTAAGTCAAAATATTGGTCGATGTAATTCGGATCGTTTTGATTGAGATTTCTAATTCGCATTGCGTTCAAGACATTTGAATAACCATTCCGCTCCAGTTCTCGCGCGATTGTAAGACGACGAGTATCTCTACACCATCGTTCATTTTTATATTGAAGGATGAGCATAGGAGGTAGGGATTTCGGATGGAGAAAGTCATTTACAAGAGCACTATAGGTTTCGGTCACACTCATTTTGCAATTTGAAAAGTTAGGATAAACATACTTTTGTGTGTAGCGAACATTTGCGAACGTGGTCGAATTCGTCGACATCATAAATGTACGCCTGCTTTTCTTTTTCATTCTGCAATAAGTTTCAATTAGTATGCAACTCTAAGCAAAAAAATACGTACACGTTTTGTTTTTCTGCTTACGACACACAAACGTTGGTTTGAAGATGTCTTGACAACGAATCGCACACAACACTATGTATGATTTCAATTAAAGTACTCATTAATAACGAAAGTATAGTGGAGAAAAGAGTGTGAGTGGATGTGGGTGTGGATGTGATTGTAGCTGTGGATATGAAACTAATGCCAATATCCACATCCACTCTCCACAACCGCACCCACCCAGACCTAGAACACTGTTCAGACAACAGACTTTCATTCGTTATTTTGCCCTCGCTTTAATAATCAAAATTACCGAAAGCTTCAATTAGCAGAAGCATATACATCTATCTTATATTTCTTTTATTTCATTTGTTTGCATGAAATTTACAAATTTATAACTGACGGGAAAAAGTTCAACTGATCACTTGTTGGCTCGATCCATGGTTCAATAATTTGAAGGCTTGCAACTTTTGAACAATTTTCTCTTGCTTGTTGATTGTTATCAGCAATTACGGCTGATAATGAATCATTATAAATGATGAGTTTCACTAAACAAGGAAGACAACTTCGACAAAGAAGTTGCTTAGCATAATCCACATATATATTATGTAATATTAGTGCAGCTAAATGAGTAAATTCAATTAAATTTGTGTTCATATTTCCCTTCTCCTCTTGTTTAAGTTGATTGAATACTTTAAGTGTCGTAAGACGAGATAGAGATCGAGTCATACGTTCAAAAAAAATAGTTTCGAAAGGTTTATCATCATCAAAGAGTAATAATGTAGCGACATTCAAGAAAATATTCTTGACATCGAAAAATGAAATCGATTTGAGATGAAGCCAAGACGAGTACCAATAAAAGGAAGTGAATAGATTTGACACTGACCATAACCATTTTTGAAATAATCAAGTACACAATCAACAGACTGTTTTTCTTTGTTAAAACTTTGACGAATTGTGTCAACTTCTATATGTGGAGCATGTCGTAATATTGAACGAATATGAAATTTAAATTGTTGCAAACGAGACATATATGAAACAATCTCTCGTTATAAACCAAACTCATCAATAAAATGATTCGATCCACGTTCGCCTGCACCGGTGGCCAATAATAATGTCAAATGCTCGACAGTTTACAAACGTCGAAAAAGAGAAAATGATTGTTCATAGTGAAAAACATTGCAATAGACTGTTATTGCCAATCGTTTCAAATTGGGACAGAATATCTAAATGAAATCAATTATAATTGAAATTTTTGCAGTAGAGAACTCATATACCGATTTCACTTGTGACATAGTTAGATTGTCGCGTACAAAAACGGTTCCAATGCTGACAGACAATGAATGCAGTTGAGGACCACGCTGATGAAGTAAACGAACACAATCTTCCAAATGAAACAATGAGAGTCAAATGTGAGTAAGATAACATGATTCAGAAAAGAATAATCCTTTTTCATTTCAAGGAGCATGAAAAAATCATTGAGCTTCAAACTCGAACGAGACAATAGATCGCATAAGTGGTGAACAACGAAAGAATGTTAAGAGTGCATCGATGATTGTATCAGTGGGATGGAAATATTGCGGAACAATTGAGAAGAGAGGTATATTGCGTGCTGAGCTGTCACAATAATAACCTACATATATAAAAAATCAATGTATACCACTCATATCAAATCATGCACGCATTATAATCAAAGTTTTAAATAAACTTGAGTTTCAATCAAAACGAAGGTTATCCTAGAGATGTGGTGTCTCATTTTATTAGTCACCGACGTCATTGGTACATTGACATTGTACATCCTTATCTTAACCACGTATTGAATTATGAAAACTAGATGTCTATCTTAAAACTCAATTGTTCATTGGTTTCAAAAAAAAATATTTGAATAGGACTTCATCATATATCTGTTTTAATTACTTCAGTCAAGATTGATATCCTTAAAAAATTTCAAGCAACTGAAACCGAGATAAAAACCTACTAAGTTTTGTAATTTGTTTCAAACAGAAAAACAAAGTATAACTCTATATTGCATTCATTTCGATCACGATGAAGTTCTCGAAATTCTTCATGCAAAAATTTCCACTATTGCCTACGGACAATATGCATTATAACCGTATTTAAGTAGAAAAAATTTTAAGTAATAGTTTACTTATTGTGACAGGTTTGCCTGTATTTTGATGGCAACGGCCGTTCACTATCCTAAAATATGTCAAATGGAATGGAATTTTATCATCATATATTTTGAATGCAGTATTCATATGAAACAAATGTTGCAAATGAATTGCAAGAGATTGAATATGACTGGATATACGAAGCAAAACATCTACATAAAATCGTTGAATAAGTAATTCATGCGTTGAATCAATATAACCAACAGTTAAATAGATTGAATGACATTTGTCTAATGCTAGTTGTTCTAAACGATTATTTCCAATATCAATAATAGAACAAACCAATAAGACTTGAGGTTTGACTTTATTCACAATAGACAAGATCATTTCATTAAGTAAATCAAATTGTTCGATCATATTATGATATGATGATAGATCTATGCACTTGTGTTTGATAAAGAGTTTATTGTTTCTTTAACACGTCTATCTAAATGGTGGATAGATGTGTCCATATATATGCATACTTGAATAATTATTCTTTGACAGGCATGGTCTTAGTGATCACCAATCAAAAAAATGTATAAACAATGAATATAAGAACTTTTTTATAATCTAATATAAAGACTCTGATAAATGTCTCTGTAGACCAGAGCCAAGATCGAAGCCAGAACTACAAAAAACTTGATCTCGCACATGTCTAGTCTTAATGTTGAAAATGATGTCTAATTTTTGAGAATATTGTTCCATGGTCCTAGAAAATTTCATAGTATAGTTACTAACATCTATCTTTCTTTGTATATTCATTTATGTTTTGTCAGATTGTTGATGTTATCAAATTTCGTTGAGGTACAGTTTAATGAATATTATCATTAATTCAGCATGACGAGGTAGTTTCGAGATTTATCCATTATTAATCGATGGAATACTAACATATTTGATAAAGAACAACTTTTGAGAGTTATTTTTTTTTCAGAAAATCATTGAATCTACTAGGTGAAAGGTCTCACTTGGGTTCTAGTTTTTAAAACAAACTCTGCAGAAATTTACGAAAAGAAACATCAGTTTCTCTACTAATTTCACTCTTTTTGGCTGTCTTTGGCTCCTGAAGTCGATAAAAAACGATCAAGATGACATTTGTACCACCGATAGAGCACCAATAATAATTAGATATGTATTTTTGGATTTTTGGATTCAAAGATTGTCTTGAAACATCAAAAAATCATATTTTAGTAATGGAACTAATAAACATTGTACATTTTTTCTCGTCTTTCTCAAATTCAGTTTTTTTTCTTTTAAAAAAATATATCTAGCATTTTGATTGCTTCTTAAAAAAGGTTTCGGCTCTGTCAAAAACAGCATCTGGGAGGAATGGGGCAGTTCTTTTTTGTCATTGTGATTCTAATATCTCATACAAGATAGCATTCAATACCCTTAAACAGTTTCGAGTTAATGCAATAGATAAAATTACAGAATCACGCGCTATATAAAAATATAAATTATAATTGTCTTTTTTCATGTTTTATGTTATCGAATATAAATATTTCAATTTTAAAAATATGCATTTTAATTCTAAGCTGGTATTCAATAAGTTCATTAGCAAATATAATTGGTAAACGTCTTTTAACTGTCTTTCCATATCCATTTAGTGTTACACTTGCTCAAGTTTTCCATGGATGGGCTTATTCGGTACCATTACTTCGTTTTATTGGTATACCACAATCAACTGATTTACATTCAAAACGTATTTATTATTTAATTATTCTACTTCCTTTATCAATAGGAAAATTTTTTTCACAATTAACTTCACAAATAAGTTTACGATTCGTAACAGTTTCCTATACACATACAGTTAAAGCATTAATGCCTCTATTTACAGTTATATTATCGCGAATTATACTCAATGAAGAACAATCAATAATGGTTAGTCAAAGTAAAAGTTGAGATATGCTGATTATTGTTTGTCGAAGATTTAGTTTATGAGTAATAGAGAAGTCTTTCGATCCTGTTTTCTGATCTTTTGGCTTAGCTCATCGCTTAATCAAATCCAAAGAGAAAACAGCTTATTTTAGGAATTACAAAAGACGTAAGAAAGTATCTACATCTCTTTGATGTTTTAGAGTGAATTAGTTCAAATTTAAGGATTCTAAAAATCAAAAACAAGATTCTTACAGATCGGCATTTTTTAAATTGTTTTATTCAATACGCTTATTAATCAGAACTCTGGAAGCAGTCCTGAATCCCAAGCAATTCCATTTGTACCGTCTCACTATACATATTGAAAATAGAATAGAATTTTTTGGGACGTGAAAAAAAGTTTGTCGAGTAGGACTTTATTATTAATAAATGGTTCTAACACAGTAATTTTTATATATTGTGTTCTTTTCTGATGCCTGTAAATTATCATAAAACATTACTTAAAACATTCAAATGTAAAAAAAAACAATTCTTCGATTACTCATTTTAGATTTATCTTTCACTAATACCTATTATCATCGGTGTTATTATAGCTTCTATAAGTGAATTATCATTTGATTTTGTTGGTTTAATCAGTGCATTACTCAGTACATGTTTACTTGCTCTACAAAATATTTATTCGAAAAAAACACTGAAATATATTAATATACATCATTTAGTACTTTTATCTGCTCTTTCGAAATTATCTTGGTGTCTTCTTATACCATTTTGGTTTTTAATTGATGGATCATATATTGATATTAGACGAGAAGTAAGATGATGAAAAAAAGTTTAACAATAATGTATTCTTGGCCTTTTCAATAATGTTAAGCATGCCTAAGGACTTTATATCTTACATTTTTTGGCAAAAAAAAAATATTCTTGTAATGTCTTAGTGATTCAAGTTTAACGAATTATTCACTTCTAAATATTTTTACATGACTCAATGGAGTTCGAGAAGCTCTACAAGAATATACAAAAAAAAAGAAAATCAGACAGACTAGTAGAAATCTCATATACGCTGTAAGAGAGATTTTTATCACAATTATTTGATCAAACACATTTACATTTACCATCATTCGATTAGAATATCTTGATATGACATATGAATACTTGTTCTTTCAAGATCATTATCTGAATTTCAGCTTATTGTTAAACTTTTTTTTTCCAGTAGCTTAAATTATAATTATCATAGAATATTTATTATAGTTAACACCAACAGTTATATATTTTATATTAATTGATGGTTTATGCAATTTTATTTATAATGTTCTTGCTTTTACAATGATTTCATATCTTTCACCACTGACATATGCTATAGCAGGAAGTACAAAGCGTATTATTGTTATTATTATATCTATTATTATTCTTCATAATCCTGTAACATATATGAATTTATTTGGTATTAGTTTAGCTTTAGTTGGTGTTATTTTATACAATAAAGTAAAATATAATGAAAAGAAACAACAATTATTATCATTAAATACAATGTCAATGCAACCAATATTGCTAACATCATTACCATAAAAATCAACACAAAACAAAAAAAAAAATTATATAAATCATTCTTGTTGTTGCCAACGATCATTCCATATAGGTCTTCGTGCTGATGACGAACGATGACCAGTTGATCCAGGACGAGAACGTACACTATTATTATTATTATTATTATTTAATGAATTTGTAGCAGATGATGGTCGACTTTGTGGACGATGGGATCTTTCCGATATAGAAAAAGTAGATGATGTATTAATTGTAGTACTTGAAGATCGTTTAGGAAGATGAATATGTGGTTCAATTGAATATGTATTAAGAGCCATAAGATGATCATAATTAGATAATAGTTCATCTCGTTTTAAACTACGAGTTGGACGAATATTTTGAAGACGTTCTAAAATTTTCTACAAAATAAAAAAGAAACAACACATGATTTTTTTTTTAAATTTTATTTGAAATAAATTTACTAAATTTTCACGTTCAATTCTTTGTTGTTGTTGTTGACGATTGATTGCTGATGAAGTTAAACGAATTCGATGATGATTATGATTATGAATATATGGCTGTTGATAATAATTATCAGTTACAATTTGCATGTTTTTTTTATTGAATTGTTGTTGATCGGAATATGTAGGTGAAGGTAGACTACTTGTACGAGCTGATAAACCAAATAGAACATTTTTCATTGATTCAAGATGAAATGGATGTTGTTGGTGTTCTTTAATTGATGATACATCAGTAATATCATGTTCAGAAGTATTTGAAGAATTAGAACTTTGAGTTTGTAGACGATAAATTGGTGGTTTTGAAGTTACTATCGGAATATCTGACATTAATAATGATGGTGATATTTTACTATAATTATTATCGTAAAAAGAATCTGATGGTTTTGTCAATGTTTCATTTGTTTGATCAATCATCTAAATAAAAAAAAAAAACAAACAAACTTTTTAATCATTCATTGTTGTATCAAGTAAAACATGTTAGATATGTGTTATATAAATAATTAATCAAAACAGTTATATACACACCTAAATTGTATTCGCCTTCAAATTTGTCTATTTCTATTCGTTCTGCCTGAATAATTCTTTTTTCTCCTATTCCTTGTATTTCATTATAAGTATATGTTCTCTGTCTCTGTCTTCTCGTTTTTTTTTTCTCAATGTATGCGTGAAACAAACGATTAATTGATGTATTTACTTGTGTGAGAGAAAAGAGGTCATTTTAAAAAGAAATAGTTATGGGTATTGGCAATTCTCGAACATCATCTGGACATGGTAGTTCAAGTGGAAGAAGACGTGGATGTTTCTTTCGTCGAAATAAACCAAGTCCAACAACACAAATTAATTCATTTGGTACTGCACAACCGGTTTCTTATCAACGTATATATGGTGTTCGTCCTAATACAAGACCAATACCTATTTATCCACCATTAGATCAACCATCACCATCATTTTTACCATTATCTTACAATCATTATCATGTTTCGTCATACGTCCCACCTCAACCTATGATGATACCACCACGAGTAGCAGCACCAATCATGCCTCCATCATATATGGTACCTGCTCCTCTCCCTCCACGTCTTCCTCCTCCTCCTCCTCTTCCTCCTCCTATTCCTCCAGTATCGATACCATACGTACAACAACCACAATTGCAACCTATTTATAATAATATACCAGCTCCAGTTTCTATGCCTATGGGTATTTCCGGAGGAGCTGTACTTAATCCTCCGTCATATCCAGGAGCACCTCCAAGACTTATTACAGATTGGACAGGTGGTGGTGCAATATCACCTGGTTTTCTTGGGCCTCCTATTTAATTAATGTAAAAGTCTTTTCTTTTTTTTTTGCTTTTATGTGCTTTTTTTTAATAACATAATATGTATTACATTCATGTCTACTTAATAATTTCTTGATTTTTTTCTATTTGTTCGACGGTCTTCTCCTCCGACGTATATCGCCAACATCGTCGTCTTCATATCGAACGTTAGCAAGATGTCTATGATATATATGCGACATTTTCATTATTTACGCCACATTACATGTACAACTAAACGAATGTAATAGTTTTCGTTTATGAATGGCGATTTTGTATATTGATAATTTGATATAATAGACGATGTCCAACATGAAATGGTGATTACTAATGAGGAGGAGAAGAGGGTAACCAAAGAAGAAAAAAAAAAAAAAAAAGAAGCAAATCTCAATATGTATGTCTATACGTTCGTCTTTTTTCTCTTGTCTAGATGAATATCTATTTGTGTTTATATGTTAATTATTAACATAAAATTAAAAGATGATATAATAGATTAAAATAATGAAATCAATAAATTGTATCGTATATGATTTCAAAAGTTGAAGTGTTTTTTTTTTTTATTTAATGTAAATTGAATCAAAAATAATGTTCTCTTTTTTTTTTATAGATTAGAGGAAAAGTATTAATTAATTTACTATTCAATAATAAAATTTTTTCTCTAAAAAAAAAATATTTACCTTGAATTTTTTGAATATTTCGTATTAATATGAAAGATATTTTAATCTTTTAGACAAAAGAAAAAAAAAAATTCTACCATAATCAGATATAAGAATTGATTCTCAAGCAATGTCCTCCTCTTAAAACGTATATGCAAATCTTAGAAAACTGAGATATTTGATATATCAATAGATGTCACTAGATTATAGTAGATAAATCAATACATCAAAATTAATAGTCATCGATCAGCAATTATTATTCGGTATGTATAAGAAAATTTTGACTCATTTTGGTTTCGCTTGACTTGGTCTTTAAATGAAAACGAAAAGGTATATCTATTTATTCTTGTAACTTTATTATTATTCGTCTGTCTACGAAATAAAATATATAAACTCACTTATGTCGCATAATCACCTTGATGAAGAAACTCAAGGTAACGGAATATTCAACAATGATCATACGAATCGTCATCGTAATTCAAATAATTTAAATTTAAAACCTATTGCTGTTATTGATCATATAAAAACAAAAGTTAGACGAAGACGAGCATCAAATAATATTTCAACAGAAACACTCGACTCTCCAAAGAATAATAATAATAATAATAAAAATATTAATGGAAATCGTAATATTAAACAAACCACTCAAGAACATCATAGATCAGAACCCAGATTAGCAGTTCGTTCTCAAATGATTGATTTATCACAAACATTACCCAATCGACATTTAGATAATATTTATGATAAGAAAAACAATTCCGAAAATAGTATGTCAATATAAATGATCAAATTAACTGTTAGAAAAAAAATCAAATTTTCTTTTAGATTTATTAATTGCAAAACATGGAAATCGTACAAATGTTTCTGATCATATAGATAAAGATGAAAATACAAATGAAACTGTTCAATCGGGAATAGATCAGATAGAAGTTGATATTGATAATAATCAAAATCAAACACGAGCAAAATCTCTTCCTGAACCACCAATTGAATTTAATACAAAAAAACGACGTCGAACAGGACGATGCAAGGTAAAAATAGTATACAGTTAGAAAATAATATCTTTTTGCATATTCTATTGACTTTTGAAAACATATTTTATCATTTTGACTTTTTTTTTTTTACCAAAAAAGTTTTCTTACCAACTCTTTAGACAAATATTGAAAGGTTAGTTTTAGTATTGTTTTCTAAATTTACATCCCTTATCAATCAGTCATGAGATTAATTTTTAGATGATTGTTAATAACTATTTAACCTCACATTTTTATACTGAAATAAAAGACTTCGAAAAAATAAATGTTTGTTTTTTTTTCTTTTGTGATAGTTTTTGAAAGTTTAAATTAGATAGCTATTGATACGTTGATTTCCATCTACTAGATTCTAATGATATAGATAAATGTTGTAGTTAACAAGCATGAAAAATCATAGACTATGACACACGCAAAAATAATTAAAATAATCATTGGCGAACTAATGTTTAGAGTGTCTTCTATTTATTTGTATGTTTCATGGACATCATCTTCAATTATTATTTGGATAACAACTAAAGGATAACCTGAACGGGTAATAGTAGTAGTAGCACATTTCGAGATAGTTATGTTTTAAATTATGATGTTAGTACAAATAGATGATAAAAAAAAGCTTTTCTAACACCCTATATATTTATTATTGGAAAATAGAAAATTTTGATGTATTTATTTATAGAATTTTCAGATTCGTGATGAAGAATTCAATAATATCTTTAATGATTTACCAGCAAATGAACAATTAATTGTTGGTATGTTTTTGTTAAATTTCTTAACCCTTTGAGTACCATGACTCAGCTAATGAATGAAATTTCTTTGAGAGTTTGTATTTAACATGGACAGTATGTATTGTTGATATTTTCATCAAAACTTTTTAAAAAAATCTTTAAAGTCATTTTTGGTCCATGCCCGTACTCCCCCACAGGGATGGTGAAGAAGTATTTTGGTCATCCCCGTAGGGGGGAGTACGGATGTGGGTCGAAATTCGATTGAGAATTGTCGCCACATCAACCTTTGGAATATCACTACGAGCCACTCCTAACTTGGTTCCGACACGGATAATCGAAGTATTTTGCGGACTACAAAAAGACATTATTCGCTCTCCTTATTTTTAGAATAGAAGTGTTGTTCCAAAGATTCGTCAGACTTACTACCTGAGTGACCTCATTAGGATGATAACTCTTATATAGATGTATGCATCGAAGTCTCTTCTATGTCATAGAGAAAACCGCAGTTCGATATCATTTCGCGTTCGCGAGTTATTCAAGAACTATTTATTGCTTTTTATTATAAATTTTAGCTTATCCATGTGCTTGGCGAAAAGAGATTCTTATGCATGGACAAATGTTTCTTTCAGTTAATTATATATGCTTTTATACATGTTTTCTTAAATGGAAAGAAAGTGTATGTGGAAATGTTTTTTTAAATAATTTTTTTTTGTCTTTTATTTTCATTTTAAATTTTTATTTCTTAAGTTATGCATTGCTTATAAAGATATTGTAAATATTAAAAGAGAAAAATCAACTAAAGTACTTCCAAATGCAATTAAATTGCGTACAAAAAATCGTGAACAATATGTTTTTGCTAGTTATATACCACGAGAACGAATTTTTTTTATTGTATCTCGTCTATGGCAAAATTCTTTACTTGAACAAGTAAAATATTATGTTTGATTTTCATAAAATAATTAGACTTTTTTGTTTTCTTGTTGTTTTTCAATTATTTATAGCCATTAAACTATGAACAATTACGAACTAGTATTTTTACTGATCAATTTAATATTGATGAATCAAGTGAAGATAGTGAAGGATCTATAGAAGGAGAACATAATCATGAACATCCTGTAAAAGTAAGTTTTCTGTTTTTTATATTCATAAGAAAAAAAAACAATTTTTGTTCTTTTATGAAGTCATTGAGTGCAAATCGCATCCTAATAGTTGAAAGTTTGCATTGAAATTCAAATTCTTAAATAGCATAGATAAACGATTAAATGATAAATATCAAGAGTGATGTGTTGGTTTTCGACAAGCGCTCTTTAACTAATCCAAAAAAAAGAAAACAATAAACCGGTTAAGTTCTAACTTTCGAGAAATAATCATTGTTAGTATTTCTCAGTTTATCGAGCTAAATAATAACGCATTGAGATATATTGTAGAAATAATGAATGTATACCAAAGGTTTCTTAGTTAGTTAAATTAATTAAAAAGAATAATATTCATCGAAGAAAATAAATAACAAACGAAATTTGATTCAACAAACTTAAAACAACTCGTAGATATCAATTCGTCAAAAAATTAATAAAATTTTTAGTTTGAACTATGCATGTGATTTAGTAATTACCGAAACTAAATAATACCGAGTGATTATCGAAATATTCAGTTTCGAAATACACTCGATTACCATAAATAGCTATAACTTTTCATTAGTAGACCATATGCTCGAACCAGTTTAAACTTTTCTTCGTCTCATCGAGACCTACTTGGAGTCATAATATGAAATCGAATAGTGTCGAACAATTTTCTAATTAGATTATCAGTAATAATTACATTTCTAAAAACTACCTATATCATACAAATAGAACGAAAACCGTCCATAGACGATGTTTGATATGATGAATACAATATCAGTGATAATTCGATATATCAATGTGACAATGATAATACAAATAAATGTTTATTATGAATCATAACTCATTTTGTAGATAGAAATAAAGACTAAAACAATTCATTTATATTTCTAGCGTTATCTTCATTCTGAATCATCACCTCAAATTCTCTCGAGTTATTCGAAAAACGCATCTACAACACCAATGATATCAGAACAAGAGATGGATTCATCATTACCAAGTAAATTTAATTAGTTATTCTAAATTAAAATAAAACAAAAAGAAAAAACACTCTAATTATTTATTTTATATTTAGATGAACAAGAAACAAATTATGCATCAACATGTCCATGTGAAACTCATTTATCAAAAACATTTGCTGAACGAGTATTTTCATATGATGTTGATATGCTTTTTGAATTGATATTTGGTGATAATTCATTTACACATGATTATCATGAGTCACAAAAATTATTAGGTAATTATCCTATTTTCTGAAACTCATCTCATTTGTCTTTCGATATTAACGAAAAAAAAGAGATTATTCTAGAAAATATTTTTCTTACAATTTAAATGATTTCTATTTTGTTTTTTTTTAAAGAGTATACTATTGGTGAATGGTATATAAATAATGAAACTGGTAAACGAGAACGTCAAGTAACATATAAAACAATAACTCAATCGATTCTTGGTACTAATATGCTTACTTGTAATGAAAAACAAGTTTGTTTCTTTTTTTGAATTATTTAATTGAATAAATTTTAAGAGAAAAAAAAAATTAATATAGATAATCGAAGCAGAAAAATCTCATTCAATATATGTTGTTCGTACAGATGTATATAATGAAGGTATGAAATATACGGATGCATTTTTTGTTTCAACACAATTTTGTATACTTCAACGTGATATTGAACATTCTTCATTACGTATAAGTGCTGAAATAAATTATATTAAAAATGTGAATACTATTGCTAAAAGTAAGAAAATATTTTAATATTTAAATATTTTCATTTTTGTTTTTCTTTTTTGTTAGCATTTATTGAAAAGAATGCTAATGCATCAATTGAAGGTGGTGTCAATAATCTAAGTAAATAGAAATTCCTTATTCAAAAAATATTAAATAGGAGAACTAATGCTTATGTCAAAAAAATGAAATGAATAGAATAATTTTTGTTTTTACATCTCAGCGATTACTTCTTCATCATTATTATCAGTAAGTGAAAAAATAAAATATGATCATCAAAAAAAAAACAAGCTTAGTTTTATTTCTCTTTCATTTTATTAACCATAGTTGTATTAAAAATTAGTAAATAATAATTGAAAATATTAGTTTTTGTTATTTTTTTTTTAATGTCATACAAAAAATTTGTTTTTTTTTTTGTACTATAGTTCGGAGACTTATTAGACAACAAAATAAA